GACACAAGGCAGTGGCCTCAAGCAAAGCTCACAGCCATCCCGAGCGACAGGGTGTCCAGCACGAGGCTGTCCTGGGCCCTGAGGACCAAGGGGCAGGGCCACCGTCCAGCACCGGGCGGAGTTGTTGCTTTGGCATCCGGACTGACCAGCGAGGTCTGGGGACCCAGGGTGGGAGGGGCAAGGAGATCTAAGGCCAGCACAGCACGGAGAGGGCTGGGGGAGACCCCGGCCAAGACAGGCAAGGCTTAGCTTTCGGAGAGACTAGAGATCAAAGTAGCCTGGGGGTGTGTGGGGGGGGGCACACTCCAGGGTTCCACACTCCAGGCAGACCATAGCAAACTAAGGTTTACTGGGATATAAACGGAGGGCCTGTTAGGAGACCCACAATCCAATGCCTACCTTAGGGTCTCTACTTCTCTCCTGCTTGAGTCTTAACCTTGCGCAAAGTGTTCTCCAAAAACGGCGATCTGGGCGCGGGAGGGGGGGGGGGAGCGGGGGCTGGGGTACACCCCCCCGCAGGCAGAATGGTTGCAGAGAGTGAAAAGTGACCACATTTCCAACTGGGCTCTGCCTGCTAGACACCGATAGATACCTGGAGTCTGTGGAAGAACAGACTCTGGCCCGGGGGCGGGGAGGTGGGGGTGTGGGAGAAACAAACCTTTGGATTCCCACAAGAGCAAGGCTCCTGACTCCCCTCTTCTGTTTTACACTCAACCTCCAGACACCTTCGTTCTCATTTGCCAAGGCTCCTCTCCGGTCTCCTCTAACCTGGGCTGAACAATTCCGATTCAACCAGAGAGGTTTAAAAAGACAGGGGTTGCTCCGCCATAACTTCCCCTAGACACCGGGAGAGTTCACCCGGAATGGTGTGGGGTTTAGCGAGGACCTTCTCCCACCAGTCCTCACTCCCACCAAACAGTCTACTCTCCAAGCGCAGGAAAAAAAAGGTTCTGCCAAAGGAAATGTGAAGGAAGGCTTGCCAAAGGAGGAGGAGAAAATTAATTAATGAGGGAAAGAAATGTGTCTTTGATCCAGATGATAGACTTCCTGTCCCTGGGGGCCGAAATTCCTAGGAAATCAATAGCCATGCATTCATTATTTCCGCCCCCCCCCTTCTTGATAAAATGCAAAGCTATGAAATGAGGGCGGGGGGGGGGGTGGGGTGGGGGACTCTGTGTTGGTCATTAAATAAGAAAACAGCAAGGGAAAAATTGTCCAGGAATCTATGCCAAGGCTCAGACCCCATGTGGGAATCATTAACACAGACAGGGGCCAAGGAGATACAAGAGTTGCCAAGGCAGAAAAACAAAGCAGTGCCATATGGGAAAGCTGAGTGGAGACTCATCTCCTTCCCTTATATCCATCATAGATAGGGCACAAGAGCAGAACTTGATGGGGCCTCAGAATTGCAGACAGAGGTACCAGTGTTCCTTATTGGGTGGCCTGGGGCTGTGCTCAGCAGGAATGTGTCTAATAACCCTCAAGAAGCACCTCCTTCCATCTTCCCTGCTACACCTGCACCATAAACACCTTTCTTCTGTGGTTTCCTCATGCTCATACATTCTAACCTCCTAGAGGGGAAAAACACAAGTTTTATAGCTTTTATTTTTCCTGTAGGTGCTGGGCCTAGGGCTTGAACTCAGAACCTTGGGCACTGTTCCTGAGCTTTTGTGCTCAAGGCCAACACTCTACCACTTGAGTCACAACTCTACTTTTTTTTTTTTTTTTGTAGTTAATTGGACATAAGAATCTCAGGGACCTTTCATGCCTAGGCTACCTTCAAGCCATGATCACCAGATCTCAGCCTCCTGAGTAGCTAGAATTACAGGCATGAGTCCACAACACCAAAAGTTTTTTTTATCTCATTTTATCTCCAGTGTCTTACACTGGTGTCCAGACTGGGGCTCAGCAAGCATTTGAAGAAAGAAAATAGAGTAGTAACTGAATGTGAAATAACTAATTTCTGAAAAAGAATAAAGATTTATAACTCTGCCCCGGGCAAGCATGCTCCCATGCCCAGACTCTACCTCCTATATAAGGTGATGCCCTCCAAGGCTCTTCTTGGACCCTTCTGGCTTGATAAACTCTCCTTGGTCATCTCCAGTTTGACCAGTCTTCCTTCCTAAACACATATATTGTTCCACAATGATCTCCCCAAGTATCATGATGGGGAAAAAATGCGGCCTAGGTAGGCTTCAAGTCCATGCGTGGAAGAAAAGAGAAAATTATACCTATGACCTTTTAGTTCTCTCTGCAAAGAAGGAGGCATTCTGGGTAGAAGTCTCATCTCACTTAGAGATGAAAAGGCACTTTTGTCCAAGGAGAGGTGAGATAAGGAGGGGGTCTTGCTAGAATGGGAACCTGATTTCAGGCCCCTGTACCACCTTTGGGAGTTACTGCAGGTCATGGTTTATAGGTTTCCTTGGAGTAGTAGAATCTCTCACTCCCCCATCCCTCCCTCTCCCCCTCTTCTCTCTCTGTCTCTGTCTCTCTCTCTCTCTCTTTCACACACACACACACACACATACACACACACACACACACACACACCCCTCTCTGAGAGCTACCTGGTTACAAAACTTTGCTGTCCCCCTTTCTTTCTGTTCTGCACCCTTTAAGATTTTTAAAGGCAAGCATTTCCAGTGGGTGGGCAGGGGTAGAGATGGGGGGCCGCCGGAGCCAGGGTGGGTGGGTGAATACTGTGTGTGCTCCAGGCACTTGCCCTGGGTGGCAGGGAGGGGCTCTTTCTTACACCCTGCAGGAGAACAGTGGGATCTTCCTTGGGTGTCAGGATGGATTAGGTTAAACCTGGACACCCGGTGAGACAACGACCACAGGACTCACTCTTTCCCTCCAGCTACGTCCCGCTCATGGTCTATTCCCCGTGGAGATAAAGTTACATTTAGCACTCCCAGGGGACTGCATAATGGATGGAAATGCAGCTCCTTCTTTCACCAGCAAGTGAACATCCTTCTCACTTCCCTCTAGGAGAAAGGGAAGGGAGGGTGGGAGGACAGAAAAGGAAAGGGAAAAGAAAAGAAAGAAAAGGCCATGGTGACGCCTGTGGGCTATTCTTGGAATCCTAATGGGTGAGTGGATACACTAAATACACATACATTAAGGCAAAAGAGAAAAAAAATCTACCAACATGCAGATTTATAATTATAGAATTGAGATCTGCCCTTTGACAGAAACGAAAACCTCCTTAATGTGGAAGAGACCTGAAAGATTATTTATCTGATCCCTGCTTTCCGTAAGAAGCCCCTAACCGCTGGTGGCAGATGTGATAACATCTGGATGGTTATTATCACCCCAGGCTAGCACTTGGTCCCCAGAGACTTAAGCACCTGAACTGTGGTTCCCCAGGGAGCCCCTTGATCTGCCTGCCACATGAGGGCCATTTAACAGGTTGGCTAATTGATTTATTCTTCTTAGGTCTTGATTTCACAGTAATTAAAAGAAATTAAAGGCTTGTGCCTATTCTTTCAAATTGATTTGAATTAATATTTCGAATCACGCCTCTTTTTTATAGGTTAGCTTCTTCCTGTCTCCGATTAAAGAAAACAACATAAGCAAGCAAAAACAAGGGGGGAGGGGAGGAGGAACAAAAAAGCCAGGAGAAAGTTCTCTTTTCAGTATTCTAATCCTTTTTTCCCCTCTGAAGTGATTTTCTTTTCCTGAAGTTGCCAGGAAAAGATCTGTGCGTGTGTGCGCGCACGCGCACGCGTGCTTGTGTGTGTGAGAGAGAGAGAGAGAAAGAGAGAGAGAGAGAAAGAGAGAGAGAGAATATGGAGAAGAGAAGATCCCAACTACACCCTGTTAACTATTTTTCCCTTTTGATTACTAGATGCCTCAGATCACCGGGAGCTCGTTTGAAAGATGGGTTTGTACACCGTTAAAGAAGACAAACAATAAGAGAAATGCACAATTTCATTTCAACAGCCTTTCCCGAGTAGAAAGCACCTGCTCCTTGTGGCTCTTAAGTGGCTGTCACTGGTGGTGCCCGATACAGTTATATTCACAACAACAACAACAAAGTATGCGGAGAAATTAAATTATGTGGAAATCAATAGCGTCTGACTGCTTCAAACAAATGTCTGTCACCACGATTATTCTCCGGGAACCTATTTATAAACCTTGAAAGGAGCTGGTTCTTGCAGCAAAAGACAGCATCTTCCCCATTTCTATGTTGTTATTTTTTTCTCCCATGCCTAGGAATGCCTAGGCATAATTTAACATACAAATGCCCAGCAGTATACATTATATAACAGCTTGTTAGGAGTCCAGAAGAGGAGGTGTGCCTAAGTAATGCACATATATTCAGGAATAGCTAGGGGAGGGGGGAAATCACGCACACACGGAGGGGCGCGCTTACATCCTGTCTTTCTCCCTCCAAAAGGTGCCTAGTCTTAAGACAATAGCTGGCCCTTCTGCTCTTTGCAGACCCGAGGTGGAAAGGTGGGGCGTACAGTGCGCATGCCTGTACAGCTACAGGTGCATCACCTGCGTTGTCCTTACGGGTGGTCACTATAAGAGCGTCTCCCAAGCGCTTGTCGCGGCCTGGCGAGTGCGCGCACGCGCGCGCTAGCGCGCGCGAAGACGCACAGCGCCGGCGAAAAGTGGAGCGCGCGCCAGACAGACGGAGAGAGCAGATGCCTGTCAGCGCGGTGGGGCCGCGAGCTCTCGCGAGAGCTCCCCGGGCCGGCCGCGAGAAGTGGGGCTCAGGTGTAAGAGGAGTGCATCCCGTCGGCGCGCGGGGCTAGAGCTCCAGGAGAAGCGGGACCGGCGAGGCCGGCGCGCGCGGCGCTCTGCGCGGTCAAAGGGACCATCGGGCGGCGGTCAGATCAGCAGCAGCAGCCGCCCGCGGAGCAGCCACCGTCACCCGCAATAGCCAGAGCGGCCGCAGCTTCGGAAGGAAGGCCGGGGGGCGGGGGAGCCGGCGCGCACACTTTCCCGCGGACTTTCGGAGTGTTTGTGGATTTACATGCCAAGCCGCCAAGATGATGTCCATGAACAGCAAGCAGCCTCACTTTGCCATGCATCCCACCCTCCCTGAGCACAAGTACCCGTCGCTGCATTCCAGCTCCGAGGCCATCCGGCGGGCCTGCCTGCCCACGCCGCCGGTAAGCGCCCCGCGCCCGCGGCGCCGGCCCGCGCCACCACCCCCACCCCCCTTCGAGATGCGGCAGGTCGGGTGCCGGCGTGTGCGGGTCCCGGCGCGGGCGGGCGGAATCGGGCACGGGTTGGTGGAGGAAGCCCGCCGGGAGGCACGCTGTGTCCAGCGGAGCTTAAGGTCGTGATCCCGTCCGCCTGCGACCCGAGCGGGGAGTTCTGGGGGTGGCCGCGATGATGCTCGACTTCCCTTCACTTTCTCTGTTAATTTCACGCCTCGAAAACAGGCGATCTCTGCGCGTGTTCGGGTGTGCGACACGGGTCCCCAGCTGCGAGTTACATCTCCATTTCTTCTTCTTGTTCTTCTCCTTTTCTTCCTTCTTTTTTTTCGTCTCCTACATTTCCTTCCCGGAATGTGTTGCCGCCGTGTCCCCTTCTCCCCCTTCTGCACCCCACCCTGCGCCCCTGTCCCCGGCGTGTCCCCCGTGTGTCCCGTCTTTCCCGCTCTCCGCTCTTCTCACTCCCCCCACCCCGCCCCTCCACGTCGTTATTTTTGGTTGCTTTGTGTTTGCTTTTCGCTGGTTGTGCTTTCCGGCTCGTGTGTGTGTTGTTGTTGTTGTTGTGTTGTTTTTTTTCTTTTTGGTTTTGTGGTGTGTGTTTTCGTTTTGTTTTGGTTTGTGTCGCCTGCAGCTGCAGAGCAACCTCTTCGCCAGCCTGGACGAGACGCTGCTGGCGCGGGCCGAGGCGCTGGCGGCCGTGGACATCGCGGTGTCCCAGGGCAAGAGCCACCCTTTCAAGCCGGACGCCACGTACCACACGATGAACAGCGTGCCGTGCACGTCCACGTCCACCGTGCCGCTGGCCCACCACCACCACCACCACCATCACCACCAGGCGCTCGAGCCGGGGGACCTGCTGGACCACATCTCGTCGCCGTCGCTCGCGCTCATGGCCGGCGCCGGCGGTGCGGGTGCGGCGGGCGGCGCCGGCGGCGCCCACGACGGCCCAGGGGGCGGCGGCGGCCCGGGAGGCGGCGGCGGCGGCCCGGGTGGCGGCGGCCCGGGGGGAGGCGGCGGCGGCCCCGGGGGCGGCCCGGGGGGCGGCGGCGGCGGCCCGGGCGGCGGGCTGCTGGGCGGCTCGGCGCACCCGCACCCGCACATGCACGGCCTGGGCCACCTGTCGCACCCGGCGGCGGCGGCCGCCATGAACATGCCGTCCGGGCTGCCGCACCCCGGGCTGGTGGCGGCGGCCGCGCACCACGGCGCGGCGGCGGCGGCGGCGGCGGCGGCGGCCGGGCAGGTGGCGGCGGCGTCGGCGGCGGCGGCGGTGGTGGGCGCGGCGGGCCTGGCGTCCATCTGCGACTCGGACACGGACCCGCGCGAGCTCGAGGCGTTCGCCGAGCGCTTCAAGCAGCGGCGCATCAAGCTGGGCGTGACGCAGGCCGACGTGGGCTCGGCGCTGGCCAACCTCAAGATCCCGGGCGTGGGCTCGCTCAGCCAGAGCACCATCTGCAGGTTCGAGTCGCTCACGCTGTCGCACAACAACATGATCGCGCTCAAGCCCATCCTGCAGGCGTGGCTGGAGGAGGCCGAGGGCGCGCAGCGCGAGAAAATGAACAAGCCCGAGCTCTTCAACGGCGGCGAGAAGAAGCGCAAGCGGACTTCCATCGCCGCGCCCGAGAAGCGCTCCCTCGAGGCCTACTTTGCCGTGCAGCCCCGACCCTCGTCCGAGAAGATCGCCGCCATCGCCGAGAAACTGGACCTCAAAAAGAACGTGGTGCGGGTGTGGTTTTGCAACCAGAGACAGAAGCAGAAGCGGATGAAATTCTCCGCCACTTACTGAGTGGGGTGGGTGGGAGGCGCCGGGCGGGGCCGAGAGGGGGAGCCGTGTGAGGAGGGGGGGCGTTTCTGGGGGCTTTTCTTTGGCCTGCTTCCCCCCCCCCGCCCCCCAATGATGGATCTGGAGTGTCCGTTAGTTATCCTGCTTGCATCTGGGGAGTTTCTCCTCGGGTTCTTTTCCTCTGCCCCACCCTGCTCTCCCTGCCCTAGCCGGCCTCGCCTAGAGGAGGGGGAGGCTGAGCGTGAAGAAAGGGGCGGCTGGAGACCAGGGAGAAGTATTGGGGGTTGACCGGGAAGCGGGAGGGAAGGAATGTGGAGATTGGAGCAGGATGGTTCTGAGGGCTAGGGTGGGGGAGATCGGGGAAGGGTTGGGAAATGGATTGTGTTTGACCAGAGACAGTTAAATCACTTATCAAAAAAAATCTTCCTGGGGACCAAGGAACTATGTACAAAAACAACCAACCACCAAAATAATAACAGTTACTAGACAAATAAAGACAAAAACAGCAAAACAAAAGCAATGAAACAATGCTTTAGATATATTCAGCTCCCAAGAGCAGTAATCTGCAGCTTCATTTTCCCCCAAGGAAGAGAAAAAATGAGCACCATATTATTACCACCGCCCCAACTCTACACACACGAACTAAGTCAAAAAAAACCAAAACCAGAAGAACTGAAAGGTGAAGTTCTGAGTAGCGAATAAGCTAGCCGGTCTGCCTGTTTAATTTTCCCCTCTAAATCTCATCATCCTCTTTGATTTATTTCCTCTGTTATAGAGAGACTCAGTGGCAGCGGAAGTGAGTAGGGCACAGCTTCGAGGAGCCTGGGGTTATAGGCTTGGTTGCCTATTTAGATAGAATTCAAGTTTTCCAGCTGCCCAGTGGCTAACTATCCTATGGTCTGGGCTGGGGTCAGGTCAGGTGAGGGACTTTAGGAAAGGAGAGTTAACCACAATCTAAGAAGCAGAACTTTGAGGGTCCCTGAAGCAACTATTCTAGAAAAAGAAAATTAGAGTAAGATCTTACTTTTTTTCATTTTTGCTTATGTCTAAGATCTACAGGACAGACTTTGAAAATAATCCATCTCCCTAACACACACAGGATTTAACCGTGTTTCGTCCATTTTTTAAATCTCTTTTTTTCAGAGTCTGATCTATTTAAACCTGTACACTCCCCTCTCCCTCCATTCATTCAAATACATTGATAGGGTGGAACCTATTAGGAGAGATTCTTCCTCCCGTTTTTTTCACTTTTCTCCAGTGAATAAGACTCATTTTGCTCTTCTAAGTCCTATTTACTCCTCTTGGAGAACATGAAGTTGTTGAAATGCTGAGAAGTTTCTGCTTTTAGTTGGGGGCCAGAGATGGCTGTGAGAAGATCACCTAAATTCCCAGAAGAGAGGGAGACAGATTTAAAGCCCCCTCCCCCCTTATTTATTTCAAAGAGGTCTGCATGTTCCCCGGGGGAAAGCAGAACAACTGTTTTCTTTTGTTGGTATTATTCAAGAGTCATTTATTACTGGGATAAATATTCGGTAGCAAAAACTTTAATTTGCACTATCAGTTTCCCAAATAGAAACTCATGTGTAGCATTTCATAGTCATTATCAAGGTATTTAACAAGCTGCTGATGGGTTTTTTCTTTCTTTTCTTTTTTTACAATGAGAAAGAGATTTGAAGGTGGTTAGTAAAATGCCTGCTTTGTGAACAAGAAACTCTTTGGTTACTCTGAGGGTTGTTTGTTACCATCCTTTATGTCTTTAAAAATAAAAACAGCATATGAGAGGGAAAAAAAAAACTTTACTGTTAAACAAGACAGAAACCATGCATGATCTGAAAGGTGCAGAAAGAAACACAATTAGGTCTCACTCTGGTTAGGCATTATTTATTTAATTATGTTGTAAATTATTGTTTGCAGCGCAAACATTCTATGCATTTGAAACTGAGCACTAAACTGGGCTAGCTTTCTGGTAGACCGTTTTGTGGATAGTGTGATTTCACAGTCTACTTACTGCCTGTTTTCACGGAAAACACGACACTTGTCATATTCTTGTATTTAGAGGAAAAGGAAGAAAGGAAGATTATTGTAAATATTTTATTTCATGCACACATTCACACAGTGGTTACAAACTGCCAGCGTTAATCCTGAAATGCCTCACGGATTGATCTACCTGTCCATGTATGTCTGCTAAGCTTTCTCCTTGGTTATGTCATTGCTCTTTTACCTTTTCCCTCCCCCACTTCTATCAGAACCATTCTGTGCGTCAACATCCACCAGGGGGATGTGTCCCGTACACTTACAAATAAAACAAAACTGAAAGAATAGCAGTTTTATGATTTTGGGTGCATTTTTGTGTATATATTGGGCCAAATCTTGGTAGAGGCGTTCAACAAATGAAACGATTCTATAACAATAACAACAAAAACCAAATAAACATAAAGGGGTATGTGTGGGATGGGTGGTAGGTTATGAAGGGGAGACCAAAGGAAGGGAAAATACGATCATGGTTTTTGTGTTTTATTTTTGTTCTTCTCTCCCTTTCTTCTCTCCCTCTCTCCATCTCTTCTTTTCCCTCCCTCTTTCCTTCCTTTCTTTCCTCTCCCTCCCTCCTTCCCTCCCTTCCTTCCTTCCTCCCTCCCTTCCTTCCTTCCTTCCTTCCTTCCTTTCTTTCTTCCTTCTTTCCTTCCTCAGTTTTCTTTTTGCTGAATAAGAATTCACTTTCAGATAACTAATGTGAAAAGGTGCTCTAAATAAAATGAATTCTATATTAGTTGCCTGTGTTTATCAAAGTTTGTTTTCTTTTATAAATGCAGAAAATCTTAAGCCACAGCACGCCATTCAGATTGGTGAAGGGTAATAAATAACCAGGCACCTGAAAAGCATTTACGTCGAAGGTCAGGAACAGTGGTATTTAGGGGTTTTATATGTAATGTTCTGCCCACACCAAAAAATATTATAAATTTAAACCCATCCACTATTCAGGTATCTTATCAAATGCTTCTGTTCATTTAGAACATTTAGCGTGCCACTCACTCTCCAGAGTGACCAGAAATTCTCAATTTCTTGGTGACCTGGGAGTAGTTCAGATGCCAAATGTACAAAGTTTTTTAATAGCTGCGATTATACCTTCTGAAGTCATCTTGTTTTAGCTAAATCTTTAATTTCACCCGCAAATCTGTGAAACCATTTGATGTTCAAAAAAGAATAGTACATTTAAAAGCTGTGAAAAAGTTAATTTTTTTTTATAAAAGCACTAGAGGTATTTTTAAAAAATAGGCCCCCATCAAACTTGGTTTGCTTCTGTTATTGATTTGAAATATCAGTTTTAATAAAATGTATTTCTAAAAGAATACGTTATTTATCGACCAGATATCATTGTCAGAGAATCAAGACTGACTGAACAAATGGAAAGTTACAAAAGTCCTTAAAAGAAAACTCAAGCAGAAATGTTGCAGGCAAATACATTTGTATTATAATGGCTAATGTATGTATTAAGAATTTAAGTATTTGTTTTGTATGAAGTAAAATCCTTGCCCAGTAAAAAGGAGACTATTACATTAATAAAACATCATGAAAACACATGCTCTGCAGATTTTCCTATGTGGCAGGAAGGTCTGCAAAACAAAACATGTTCTGCCTTCTGGTTAGTGAATCTACATAGGCTGCAAGCAATCATAAGACTATTTTAAGGCTCCTTAAATGTCAACCCATGAAGAAAAATTTTTTTTAATGTTCTCTTGAAGAGATTGCAAAGGCTTGTCATTCTGTGGTAGGTTAAGCCTTTCAACGTGCTTTGGTTCTGGACAGCGGCACTTCAAGCTGAGACTCTCTGCACCCGTCAAGGGGTAGAAATGTGTTCTTTCAAAGAATATTCTCAAACCAAGTTTAATGGGAGAGCTGGGCTCCGTTTGCCTTCAGCTTCTCAGGAAATCCAGGAGGCTGAGTAGGAAAAGGCAAAAAGAAAAAAAATACATATTAAATGCATCTGCCACATTAATGCCATCCATTTGTCTTAGATTGTCTTTTATCCCACTTCTGGCGCTGGGGGTCCTGCTCCTGTTTTATGTCCTGAGAAACGGTATCCCTCAACATCCATCAACTAAATTCTGAATAGATTTTTGTTCCATGTGTGTTCTTAAATTGCTCTCAAGTACGATTATACTCTCATAAATAAACTGTAGGCACCCACTGCCGTGACTGTATCGATGTTTATTTTCTTGTGATACTAAGATTTCTTGGGGCCAGCTCCTACACGTGGCCGGGCGAGAGAAGACAGGGTGTCATAAGCGTGGAGAGGCCTCCTTAGTTCCAGCCGTAGGCTACCTTTACCGTTCTGCCCAAGTCTACCCCAGACCTCGCCCTCCAGAAACCCATACGCTCTACCATCTCTCAGGTTGAAGTGTCCTCCTAGTTTTATCGGGAAGTTGACATTGGAGCATCTGACTGGGTGAACACCAATGGTCTGGGTGGCCAGAGGGACCAGGAGCTGAAGGCCGCCGTGATTATTGATACTGCTACCGTCGGTGTTGTTGCCATTACCGTCTCAGCCGGGTGACGGGAGCCACAAACGCCTAACGAGCTGTTCCAAAGGATTCTGCAAGCTTAATTGATTTTTTTTTTAAACAACCGAAATCTAGTGGCGCTGTGGCTCAAGTGGTAGAGCACTCGCCTTGAGCTGAAGAGCGCAGGGGCAGCGTCCAGGCCAGAGTTCAGGCCCCACTACCGACCAAACAACAACAAAACAAAACAAAAACCCAACCACAATCTAATTCTCCCGGGGTGACTTTTCCATCTGCGAGATAAGCCTTGTCGCCATAATGTGCATGATTTAATATTTGATCAAACCGTGGCTCTTGTGCGGGGCAGGGTGCCAGGCCCCCGTCCCAGGCCCGCGTCCCGCCGGGGCACGTGTGGCAGGGACGCGCGGCCGCCCCACCAGGGCTTGGCTTGACTTTTTTTTAAAAAAAAATTTTAAATAATTCATGGCCTGAGAGTTCTGGAAATTA